ATTTCCCTGAGGGTGAAGGCAAATTGGCTGGTTCTCTCTGCTCATGCTGGCCTCCTGCAGGACGTGGCCTTTTGGTGGCAGTGCACTGCAGGCAGAGGTGGATCTGTCTCCCTCAACCCACAATGGGCACACAAAAGAATGGTCCTTCTAGTGTTGGCATCCGGCAGGCAGAGGCCAATCTCTTGGTTCTCTCGGCCTGCCCTGGGTGCAGAGCTTTTTTTTTTTTTTGGCAAGCTCTCACTATGTAGTGCAGGCTGGCCTTGAACTCACTATGTACCCCAGGTTGGCCTTGTACTCATGGTGATTCTCCTGCCTCAGCCTCCCTAATGCTGGGATTAAAGGTGTGTGCACCATGCCCAGCTAAAAATTTTAATCTCATTGTTCCTTTCATTCAAAGAGGGTAGATGCTGACTGGACTGCAAGGGGAGCTCCTAGAGCTCACTTTGGGGACTTGAGCAAGATGTGCTAGAGGTCCCAGCTCATCTTCAGTGTCCAGAGCTCCTCCGTGATTCATTGTGTTCTACTCACTGACAACAAAGAATATGAGAGACCTTTTATATGTGGCCTATTGAAGAGACTCAGTAAAAATAGTTTTCCCATCTTACATTCTCTTTCTTAGCACCCTTATCATGAACTTCCCAGCGGCCACCACCACAGCTGCCGTGAGATCTCGCGAGATTTCCAAATGATACATTTAAAAAGGGTTAATATTCAGGTTATGTAAGAAATGCAAATCAACAGTGAGAACTAGTAAACAAACAAGCCAAAGAAAAAATAACTTGATTAAAGACCTGAACATTTTCCAAAAGCAAGCAAATGACTCATGATGTATGAAACATATTCTATATTCTTAATCTTCAGTGAGATACAAATTTACACCTGTTAGCAAAGGCAGTAAGTCAAGAATTTTCAAAAAAAGGGAATGCTTCAACTCTTTTGGTGGGAACTAGTATACTCTTTATGGAAAATAGCGTGGAAGTTCCTCAAAAGTTAAAAATGAAATTGCTTCAGTCCCCCTTCTGAATATACATCCAAAGGAAATGAAGTATTTTGACAAGGTCTCTACACTCCCTTGTTCATTGCAGAATTACTCAAAGTACCCAAGCTATGGAAGCAACCTAAGGCCTCATAACACATGAATTGATAAATAAAATGAACTATCAACTTACATTCAAGGTGCTTATATAGCCTTTTTAAAATGCAATCTATCTACCTATTTATCAATCAGCACATATTCAAAGTACTTTTATTCCCTTTGTTTTATTGAATCTAACACATTTAAGAATTAGAAGCATTATATGAAGTAAGACAAAAAAGATAAGGCAAATTTACTTTCTGGTCTGTTGTAGTCAGGGTTTGCAAGGGAAGGGATTTAATGCAGGCCACATAGTTTATAGGATTATTTATAATATTCACCAAAAGACTCAAATGCAAAAATGATGTGGGAGATCCAAAATATCCAGCTGAGGGCCTGGATTCCATGCCAATGTCCTGCATGAGTCCAGCTGAAGACTTAGAGCCCATGGCAATGTCCTCCATGAGTCCAATTGGAGACCTAGACCCGATGATGGTGTGTCATGCAAGTCTGTATCATATATCTGCACTGAGAAATCCTAAAAGTGAGTGGAAGCTAAAAGGATCTGTGCCAGCAGGCTGAGGGATGTGCATTAAAGCCAGGAAGCAACACTTAAAGTAAGGACCAGAGCTCCCCTGAAAAGAACTGCAGCCTTGCTCAGAAACAGTGAGGTCCTGAGTTCCTCCAATGATGAGAACAGCTGATTTTATATCAAGAAAGCCAGTAGGACAAGCTTCTCGGGGACAGTCAACAGCACAACCTCTTCCTTGCTAGCTCTCCTTGTTATATTATTGGCAACAATCCTCAGGTGGGCCGTCCATAACCAGCACCACGCTGATTGAATTAAGCTGGTGTTACAAGTTGCCCGCCTGTTATCATGCCATCACATGGCCCATTTCAGAAAAGATGTTTTCTGAGCTGTGACTGAGATTAATCATGATCCATTTTCTTGGGCTGAGAAGATTGCTGAGTCAAATAAATACTGGAATTATTTCAACATGGGAATTCTGTTGAGCTAATGTTGATAGTAGTAAGGGCTACAGTTTGGATATAATTTGAGTGTGGCTCACTAGAGTTCCTGTGCTGAACTGGGAGCTTGTTCTCCAGTGTGGTGGCATGGGAGTTGGTGTGGAGGCTTTAAATGTGTGACATGGTTCAAGGTGATTGGTTCATTAGGGCCATTGCCCTTGGAAAGACTAAGGTCGTTCTCATGGGACCCTGACTTGTTTCTCATGACAGTGTTGTTATGAAAGAATGAGCCTGACCTCTGGATCCCTGTTTGGCTTTCTGTTTGCCATGTGATCCCTTCCTGTCTCATCTATTCCCACCATGATGCTATCCATTACAATGTGATGTAACCAACAGGGCCCTTAGTAGAGGATGAATCAATGGGGCCACTTGATCTTGGACTTGTGGCCTCAAAAAGTACCTAGCCTCAGGTATTTTGTTACAGTAACAGAAAATGAATGAATACAGTAAACATTTATGGTATTTAATTATATTAAAAATAGTAATGGCTACAAATAATAGAGATACATGGCTACATATCTTTACTACCGCAGTTCACACTGAGCAAAGCTCTAGGCACCTGGAGATGCCCTTTCTAGATTACCCACACTTCAGGCTGACTGCAGATACATAAACAGGCCAGCACAGCCAGCTCAGATAATGGAGCTTCAGGCAGCCAAAGAATTTTGAGAATAATTTTGATTGTAAGCAACTAAGTTCTGAGTGTTTTGTTACAGAAAAATCTTTTACAGGTAATCAAAGTGATGCTTTCTTGTTGCCCATAGAAAACTGAGCTATGTGAACTTTCCTTGCTTCAGAAAATCAGAAGGCAAGGGGTGAATGCAGGAGAAATCAAGGTATTAGTTCCCTACAACCCCTTATTTTGCATCTCTATAAAATGGTTATGTTGCCAGACCAAATGCCCCAGTTCCTGTTAGTAGTCTTGAGTACACAGCTTCTATTTATAATACTCCCTGGCCCTGTTCCTTTCATCTAAGGGGTGATTTTGGATCTGTGATATTGCTGAGTCTCCCTTGTGATCTTTTAAGTTCTTGCCTACACTCCTGTTTATAATCCTTTATTAAACTCTCTTTCAATTCTCCTAATTTGATTATGCCATCTGTTTCCGGCCTTATCCAGCGGTAATACCATGGCACAGATCTGAATGATCTGATGGAACGAGTGGTGAAGATATCTGGGGCAATCGCCAAGATCTCCCAGCTGTGGGAAATCAGGGTAACCTGAGTATATCACTGAAGACAAGATCTAAGAGTTAACTGTGTGCAGGTGCTGATAGAGCTGTGCGGTGCAAGGGAGGCAGATTATGTATGGCCTTGTTGGCTTTTTTGTAAGAATTTTAGCTTTTCCTTTGAGAAAAATGGAGATCGGTTAGAGCCATATCCTCACATCTAATTAAATCTAATTAGATTGCTTTCTGCTATGCATTGACAGTAGAGCCCTGCAATTCAACATTGAACTTCTCCTCCCAGGCTTGTGTCTCACTGATGAATGCGTGGGTGTGTTCAGCCAGCCCAGCATGCATGGGTCTGAGTTCAAGGCTTTGTGTCTCTCCTGATGCTGGGGGTGACATGACCTTTCTTTACAGTCAGAATTCAGCTGAGAGTCTTTCTTTTTTTGTTGTTAGCATATTCTTTTCAGTTCTGCTAATGATTTGGGAGTGGATACATTTTTTTTTTTTTACTTTTTTTTGTTGTTAAAGTCAATAGGCTCTTCCACACTGACTTCAAAAAGTGTACTTATCTAAAGGATCTTGTACAATAGAGAACTAACTGCTTAAGTCCTTCAGGGACCATCATAATATAAGGAGTTTAACAGAGCAATACTGCCTGCCTGCCTATCTTTTAGAGGTGGTGACTTTGACTGGAAAATATAAAAATTAAAGAGGTCATTTGCATGTATGACTTTCTGGAAAATAACACACAGATTTGAAACATGTTTTAATTCTTTAATTGAAATTTCCCCTTAAAGTATATCTTCTGGTATTAATTCTAGATCTCCCTTTGCAGGTAATATAAATAAACGTGATTCCTCCTCACTCCATGTCACTTACATGGGAGTTTACTCTCTCTCTCTCTCCTGTTTCTCAGATGAATTTCACTTGAATGAGTCCTACCATTTGTATCAGATGTGGTGTGTTCTAGTCAACCAAAATGACACTTTTTAGGTCTCATCTTAATAAAAATTTTAACTATAAATTATAGCTATAGTCTTTAGGGCTTGTCTTTTGCTTTCAGTCTAAAGCAAAGCAGGCTATTTAGCTGGAAAGTTAAATAGGTAGGAACCTTTTCTTCCTGGATAGCATCAGTGGTCTATTAGAACAACTTCTGGTTTGTCTTCTATACTTCATCTCAATTTCTTTTTAAATTTATTGTTACTTTAAAAAATTTCCAGCCCAAAATGTGAAGTGGGTCATTCTAGTGGACATTTAGTAGAAACAGATATGAGTGAGAAAGCCAGGGTTTTAGTTTTTCTGGTATCTATTGTGCTGCATTATCTTGAAGATTAAGCTTGAGTCTTCTAAAATTTTAGTTTCCTTCTCTATAAATTGACAGGTTAAATTATTGAAACATCAAGAAATTTTGAGATCCAACATAAGAGTTTGATATCCTTAAAAAAACCCCAAACTCTCAACAACTATAACATAATTATTATTTTATATGAGAGAACATTTTCAACATTAAAAAGTCAGGCTATGTAGCTCAGTGATAAAGGACTTCCTGAGCATGGGTTCAATCTTTAGTACAAAAAAAAAAAAAAACTGAGTACAGTGGTACATACCTGTAATCTAAGCTACTCAGGAGAATGAGGCAAAGGGTCAGGAGTTTGAGGCCAGCCTGAGTAGCACAATGAAACTTCATCTCAAAACAAAGAAACCAAAATATAATCTCATAAAGCATAATTTAGAAAATTAAATTTATTTGTAGGAAAACTCAGTACATTTTCCATTTCAGCACCTTGTCAATAAGCATTTCTTCACTGGGAGCTTCTGAAAGCCTTTGTTATTCTAATCATCTATACTTTGGTCTTGTCAAAGTAATTATGGCGATTCCTAACTTGGGTGCCAAGATAAGCTTGTTTCTTGAGACTCTGCATTGTATCTTCTTGATATCTCTTATGTCTAGCACAGTGCCCGGTATAGTGACAGGTTACACAGATTAAATGGTGAAACAATCCCCGATGAATTGAAACTCCTTTTAGGAAAGAACAAACTTAGTAAGGGTGAAGAAAAAGACAGGGGGCAGTCAAGTTAGCTCTAGATTCTAGGGCTAGCAATCTGTTTTTCAAAGCTCTCCCAAATCTGAAGGCAGGGTAAGGTTGCTGCTCTACTGTCAATATTCATGTGTGCTTCAGATTTGTATGTTCAAAGCTAATATCCAAAGCAATGGTATTAAGAAGTGGGGTTGGCAGACATGAAGAAGTCACAAGTGGGATTAGTGCCCTTGTAAAAGAGGTTCGAGGGGACTGAAATGTAGCTCAGTGGTGTGAGAGTGTGCTTAGCCTACAAGAAGCCGTAGGTCAGTCCCCAGTAGCATAGGAAAAAAAATTGAGGAGCCTGCTTGCCCCATCTGCTATTTAAAGACACTAAAATGCACCATCTACGAAGAACAGGCTCTCATCAGATACATCTGCTGGCTCCTTGCTTGGACTTCCTGGTCTGCTACACACTGAGCACTGTAGTTCCATTGTTTATAATTACTTGGAGTATTATGTTTTAAAAGACCAAATGTGCTAAAACAGTGTCAAAAGTAGACTCACCATCATTTTTAAAAAGTGGGTATTTCCCTACATACTCCTACAGGTAGCCTATGTGTCAAAGCAAAACTTTTATTTATTGAGAAGTAGGTGCGTGAACACAAATTTGGGCTTTGCCATTAGCTTAGGAGATGAGCTTGGTCAGCCTGCTTCATGTCATGTGTCTCAGGTTCCTTATTTATAAAATGTGAATAATAATTGTACTTGCCCCATAAAGTTATTCTGTGAATTAAACAGATATACTTAAAACAGGGCTGTGTACACAGTTCACGTTCAATCATAACTCTGATTAATGAAGCTCAAGGTTATATAGGAACAGATGAGGGAAGCATTAAAATTGTTCTAAAAGACTAAAAGACTGAGAGTATTATCAAACTCAGTAAAATCAAAAAGGCAATTATGAACCTCATAAAACTCCTTTCTTCCAAAAGATAACAAATTGAATCTATCAGAAGCTTCAAATTAACAGACAAATTATTACAAAATAAACGCAACACAGGTTGCGAGAACTGGAGTAGTCTAGGGTATGTAATTATTTTTCTGAGGTGAAGTACAGGAAACCAAGTCCCTTAGACAAGTGAGTAGAATTTCTTGTTAACACATCAAAATGAACTTGAAAATTTAAGAAAACTACCACTGCCAAGATCCCACAGTAGTTATGAATCAAAATCTTCTGAGGTGAGGCTCAGGGGTTTCTTTTAAAGCTCCTCAAATGCTACTAAAGGCTCATCAGAGTTCAGAAACAGCTAAGTCAGACTCTGTCCAACGTATTATGTTTTGGAAGATCAAAAGGGCTAAGATTGTCAAAGGTAGACCTACCATCAATTTAACTCATTTCGTGTTACAACTGTCTTAGTTCTTGTCTTGTGTATAATTTCTACTTCTGTTAATCGCTTCATAACTTCTCATTTTTTTCACGCTGCTTCTTTCGGCTTCTGGGCCGTCGTGCCAGGTCTGGGTTACAATCTTCTCACGTGGGAGGGCCCGTCCTCCACTTCCTGGGAGAAAAATGCACATCTGTGCGCTCTGGAAGGCACTTAGTAAGTATTAGGCCAAATTACCCAACCAGTAACAATTATTAGAGCCGGCTCTTCCCAGATTAAATCAACAGAAATGCCAGGGCTCCGTCACCTGTTCAAGAGGCGCCCTGTCGAGAGACGCGGTGCGCCGCGTTGGCCAAATGAACTAAAAATACGGAGCAGCAGCTACAAGGGGAAGAACCAAGCGGCTCTGCAGCAAGTCGGCTGTCTGCCTTAAATTTTCTGAATCCTTAATTACTGGTACCTTTTTCTTTCTCCTGGTCACAAAATTCTCCTACTATCAAGTTGCTCCGTATCGTCCCAAACTGTTTAGGGGCAGGCTGCTAACAGAGCAACGCGTGCTGCAGGAAGGTTTCTTGAGTCCGCTTTCCTTTAGGCCAGCTCCTCGCTACCCCACAGCCAGACCCGGCCAGTCGCTCGGCCTTGGCGCGAAGGCTGGGGGCAAAGCGCAGCAGCCGCACCTCTTCCCAGCTGCAGTGCCCGGCCTCAGACGCGCTTGCGCGCAAGGGGGCCGGCAGCCCGAAGCCGGAGGAGGCGGGGCAGACCCTCGAGGTCTTCAGCTCATTGGCTGTCTTCCGTAGTTCCCGCCCCCAGGGGTTCGCGGCGGCGGGGCGGGCCACGTCAGGCTGCGGGTGCGGGGCTGAGCTGAGGCAGAAGGGAGGTAAGCGGTGCGGACTGGCGGGCGGCCTTCCGCGGGCTGCTGACTGCCGGTCGGGAGTCACAAAGTCGCGCCTGCCTGCGGCCTGTCTGCTTGCGTGGAGGGCGGCTTAAGCCTTGCGGGCCTGGGGCTTTGCTGTGAGATCCGGCAGTGGAGCATGTGGTGGCAGTGGAGCATGTGGGGAGGCTGGGAAAGGGAACGACCTAGTTTGCCCTGATTTTTGCTTGTCTGAGCCCTGAAGTCGGGAGGACCGAGGGTTTTGCGGTTAGAGCCCTGGAATGCCGGGGCAGTGATGGCTGTAATGCCTGCGGTAGGAATTCAGCGGCGTCCAGATCCCGAAACCGCTCGGCGCCGTCCTTGCTTACTTTCCTACCTGCAGCAGGTTGCAGTCTCCTCACTCTTTCTTGACCGGTTCCAGTGGGGATGGCGTTAGAGATTCCTGTCATGCCCTGCCTGGCGGGGTGACTACTTCCTAATACCCTGGGACTCTATGCAGGTCATGTTCACTTTAATGCAAAGGCTTATGGGTGAGCAGAGCCTGTTTCAGATCTCCTGGTTCCCTGGTTCTCTTCACTTGTGGGAATTTTCCGAGGAAAGAATATTTTTGAAATGTCCGCAACTGCTCTGCGGAAATTTACAGAGACCTGCAATTATGTTGCACCTACTCCTTGAGTCATTTCAGCTCTGTCCTCTAGGACCCTCAATTAGATTCCTGAATTCGAAGATTTTGAAATTAATGAAGTCATCCTGCCAAGTATCAAGCCGTCATTCACTGATTCATTGAAAACTTCTTTGATGAATTCGTTGATAGGGTCTTAGGCCAGGTACCAAAATCCACATGCTCTGCTGTTCTGCCAGTTTTGTTGTATGAATTGGTAAGAATTAGATGGATTTTTTTTTTTTTTTTTTTTGGCTCTGCGGTTCGATTTTAGGCACTGGATTTAGTTATAAAAGAGAGCTCTTCAGTGTTCCTTTCACTTAATTAATAAGCTTTGAGCCAAGATAGACTTGAGGGGTAACCCTGATAACAACTACCACCAGGAAAGATAACAGGTCTAGGTCTGGATGCTTTTAGAAGTATTCTGTAATTTTGAGATACTAAAGGAAAGGATGGACATGTGGCATATTTATGGAGCTGTGTTAACAATTGGGAAAAGACCATTTTTAAAAAACAAGGGTATGTTTTACTGTTTCAGAGACCGCTCAATCTTGTCCACTTTTCATTTTTTATATAGTAAGCAAGCACAGATTTACAATTGATATCTGATTCTTGCAAAGAAAGCACTATGACTTGCCTAAAATTTGAAGTGTAATAATCATGAAATTGCTAATAATTATAAAAACAGTAAGAAAAAATTGCATAAGAATGCAGTTTTCACAGCATTTTGATTTTTTGTGTAGATTAATGCCTTGCTTATTTGCTTGCCTAGTTAATGTTAGTTACTATTGCTTGGCTAACGTCTACCAATAGCATTTCTATTTCAATATTTATTATATCAACAACATTGTTTTTTAATTAATTGGTGCCTTTCATTGAGGCTTGAAAAGCACAAAGTAAATAAACTATTACTCTGCCATAAAAATAAGAAAATGATGCAGCAGTTCTTCATTTGTTGACTGATTGATGGTACATATAAGTACTCCAGTTGGTGTTTTTCTAGGTATAAGATGATTTCTAATGTATTTCATCTGAGGCAGTGTTTATATCCCCATGATATTTTTTGGATATTGTCCACAAACCATTAGTTGAATTAAATTGCTGATGTCACTGTTAGGGGTTTGAAAAATGAAGTCTGTAAGTATAGGATGTTATTTAAAAATGACTATAGATCCAGAGACATTTAGAACAGTAAACTATAGTACAGTTATATACATATATATATATATATATATATACACACACACATAATATCATATCAATCTGTGATTCATAATTAGTAATAAAATGGTTGGAGGTCAGGTTAACTTTTCCATGATAGGATTAGATTTGTTAAACTAATTGGACAAGAGATGTTTGTTGGTTTCTTTCTATTAAATGACTTTGAACAACAAACTTTTTAAACAAAATGATGGAAGATCTCACCTATTTTCAAACTACAGAGCAAAGTATTCATATAAATGTGGTCCCCAAGTACTTTTGGTCTCACTTTTTTTGGGGGTCTTTTTGAGACAGGGTTTTGCTATGCAGCTCAAAGGCTGGCTTTGAGCTCACTTTGTAGTCTAGGCTGGTCTTGAATTTGCAACAATCCTCCTGTCTCAGCCTCCTGAGTGCTGGGATTACAGGTATGGGTCAATTTTTAAAACTAAGTTTATTGGTACATTTTAGATATACATATGGTCCTATTCATTGTAGGAACTTGTACCTGTACATGATATAACTTGATTCTTTTTATCCCCCATTTCCCTGCCCTCCCTTCAGTCTTTCTTCTGCCTTTTGTCTCAGTTTTTTAACCTCCCAGAGATGCATAGAAGTCATAAAATGACATTTATGATTTTTTAGTTTGTTAATTTATATTTGCTTTTGTTCAGTTAGCTTGAGTTTAAAGCCTGAGAGCAGCAGCTGCTGTTGCTTCTGCCACCACTGCTGCTGCTGTTTTTGCTGCAGCTCCTTCTCGTTTTCTTTCTCCTCTTTTTTTTCCTTCTCCTCTTTCTCCTCTTCTTTTTCTGCCTTGGGGATTGAACCGAGGGCCTTTGCATTGAGCTACATCTCAAGCCCTTTCTATTTTTGTTTTTGTGACAGTGTTTCACTAAATTACCCAGGCTAGGTTTGAATTGTGGTGCCCCTATGTCAGCCTCCCTCAGTGCTGGCATTATAGGTGTGTCACTGCATCCAATTAGAACATTGACTTCTAATCTGTTGAGGAATAGAGAAATGAGGCTCAATAGGTAAAAAAGGACCAAATACTGAAGGCCCTTTTCCTCCATACTGTTAAAGATTTTCAGCTTTATGCTGGAGGCAGCGGTGATCCATAGGTAAGAGATTTTAAGTAGAAGAATGTTAAAAGATTACAATGAGAAGAATGAACTGTAGAAGAATGAATTGGAGAAGGCAGAAAAGCCCACTAGGTAGCTGTTTGTGAAGGTAAGATATGCTACAACTCTCAAAATGCAGTGAAGAGGATGGATTCAGGGGATGATAAGCTGGTATCGAGTTGGATGTGGGGATGAGGAAGAGCTGGAGTCAAAGAAGACTTCCCAAGGTAGGAATTGTCTGAGGAGAACAGATCCATCTTGGATATGGCTTTGAGTCATGTATTTAGTCCTGTTCAGTGGGCAGAAGGCAGATTTGGTCTAGTGTTTGGTGGATTCTAGCCTAAATGTAGAGGTTAGGATGCTATTGACATATACATAGTTAAGGCACTGTGAGAGTGGATGTGATACCTCAGAAAGAGTTTATAGAATACAAAAGAATAAAATAGAAGAGAAACCTGGGAAGCTCTTCTGTACAAGGGAGATAATCTGATAACGACTGAGGAGGAAAGGCCTACTGACATAGAAGCTGGAGGAGATGAGGGAGTTTGAGGAGGGCTGGGTAACTGTCAGATGCTGTAGAGAGTAGGGAAGAGAGCTCGCAAGAGAGTGGGAGGCGGGGTGTGCTATTGCACTTCTGTAATCCTAGCACTCAGGCTGAGGCAGGAGAATTGAAGTGAGTTCGAGGCTAACGTGGTCTACAAAATGAGTTCAGGGCCAGCCTTATGTAGCAAGATGCTGTCAGAGAGAGACAGACAGACAGACAGAGACAAGACAGAAACAGAGACAGAGAGACAGAGATTTAGGGAAGGTTAGCCAGATAGGCCCAGGTCATTGACTTATAATACTAATAATTCACTGAATTGTGTAACTTTCTGCAGAAAAATTCAGTAGTACCAGAGCCTGTGAATCTATTTGGATTTTGTGGTAACATATGGTAGGAATATAAGGGTGTTAAAAACATTGGCAAGAGGGAAGTGTAATTGATGGGATGTGAAGGTTAGACTGGATAGAGGGGGAAAGAAAGCCAGGAGGAGATGAAAGACTGAGAGAAATAATTAGTTCAAAGGATTAAAAGTAAATATCTAAGTGTTTATAGGTAAAAGAACTGAACAGATAGAAATACTCTGGTCACAGTAGAATACCTATGGTCCCTGACTTTTTCCTAAGTGATCCACCTTAGGATTTTTTAAAACTATATTACAGTGGGAAAGCAGTATATGTTCAGAGGAATCTAAAGTTTGGTCTTTTTTTGCCCCTACACCGGTGATATTTACAGTACAATAATCTCTCAAAAGGGCAGCAGCAGTGAGCCATGGCTCCTAGTCCTAGACATCCTGGGAATCACTAATAATTGCAGTGTACTGTGAGAGACTCAGTAGATTGGATGGATGTACTGAATAGGTTTTCATCTTACACTATTTTCAGTTTACGGTGAGTTATGGTGATACAACCCCGTTGTAAGTTGAGGAGCATCTGTATTGGAGTTTAACATTTAGGTTGCTGACGTAGTACTGCGTTTGGCCATGCATGTGGATGCCTAAGTGGAGGTGTTTGGAAACAGTGAGGCAGTCTCATGTGTCGGAGGATCACTCATGTCGGTATGGATCCTGGATCGTGGTGGTCAGGGTGAAGAGAGCCTATGATCTTGGTGTCTGAGATTTTAGACTGCCGGTGGTAGTGTGCAAGTGTGTAAGAGATGGAGATGCACTCCCAGGTAAATGGTATGGAAACTTTCTTTTGGTCTCGCAGCTTGGAAGAATGATTTGGTCTCTGCTATAGTGCCCCAATGAGGAGAGTTTAGTTTTCATTTAGCCTAGGAGAGAAGTGTGTCTGTGTATGTGTGTGTGGGGGGAACATCTAATTTTGAGAGAC